AGTGTCAATTCTAGGCCAGGTGTGGTGGCTAATGCCTGTAATCCCAGCACTTTGGGAGGCCGAGGCGGGCAGATCCCTTAAGGTCAGGAGTCCAAGACCAGCCTGGCCAACATGGTGAAACCCAGTCTCTACTAAAAACACAAAAATTAGCCAGGAGTGGTGGTCCCAGCTACTTGGGAGGCTGAGGCAGGAGAATTGCTTGAACCTGGGAAGCAGAGTTTGCAAGGAGCCGAGATGGAGTCACTGCACTCCAGCCTGGGTAACTGAGCAAGACTCCACCACAAAAAAAAAAAAAAAAAAAAAAAAGGTTGATGCTTTCAGAGCTAATTTATAAATACTATATTGTGAATCACACCCCCAAAATTATTAGTAGGATTTTCAAATTAGACAAGTTGATTTTAAAGTTCCTATGTAAAGCTAAATAAGCAATAAGAGCCAGGGAAAAGCATCTAGGGAAAAATAAGAAGAGGAATAAAGAAGGACTGATAATACCAATTATTAAAATTGGAGAGACAGAAAGAGAAGGAACAAAGAGAGTGAGGGAAGGAGGGAGAAGAGAAAAAAGAAACCCTACCTTTTATAACTGCTATGTAGGAAATACATTAAGTGCAATTTTTAATACAAATATATTACCTTTCCCCTCCTCTCCACCTCACTGATATACAAATACCTCGTTAACTTAATGAAATAAATGAGCACTTATAAATGGAATAAATGAGCAATTAGCAAATAGTTTTTAGTAATTTCAGTACAATTTTAATACAACTAGAAAATATAAAATCTACTAAAATCCTTAATACAATCCCTGGCACATAGAGGCATGCACTCAAGAAATACTTGTTGAATAAATAATAAATAGTAGAGACATTTGATAAATTGTCTTTTGGAGTCCTAATGCCATTGAATGGATTTAGACACTATGCTAATATGTGGGGTTTTAAAAAAAGTAATTAATTAGTATTATTTTTTAAACTCAATTTTGAAAAGTTGAAATTATAGGAATCAGAACCAAAACAGTTTCAATTCAAAAGTAACCAAAAAAGGAAATACATTTTATATTTTTAAGTAAATATAGCAAAAGTATTCTAATTGCTCTCCTGTGGTCACTTGGTCATGCAAGATCCCCAAAATGTATTATAAAAAGTCACATCATTCATTGTAGCATTATAATTATAGTAGCAAAACTCTAAAACAAACAAACAAACAAACAAAAAAACAAAAAAAAAACCCTAAATATCCATCAATGGAGGACAGATTCTGAACAAATCTTGGTACATTTATGCAATGGAATACCATGTAGTTATTTTAAAAAATAAAGTAGATCTCTGTGTGCTGATGTGGAAGAACCAAGATATCTTGTTAATTTTCAAAAAGCATGGAGCTGAACAAGGAGCCATGGAATGCACCTTACCCAGGGCTCTCGAGTCAGTGTGTAAGGCTGAAATTTAATATAGTCCTAATGTCCCTCAAAGATCCCCCATGATAATGCCAGTTTACAGGCATTATGAACACTCCCTCGGTAAATGTTGTACAGAGCTAGTGTTTCCTTTGGCACTAAAAGGCTCTTCTGGTTCTTCAGTTGCACACCAGATGAAGCTGGCTCCCACAGGGACCATGTTTGTGATAAATACAGTCTTTAAAAGTTAGCCTTTATCCAGCCTTAAAAAGGAAGGAAATCTAACCATTTGCAACAACATGGATGAACCAGGAGGACATTATCCTAAGTGAATTAACCCAGACACAGAAGGCCAAATACTGTATAATTCCACTTATATGAAGTATCCAGTCAAACTCATGGAAACAGAGAGCAGAAGGGTTTCCAGGGGCTGGGGGAAGGGGGAAATTGGGAGTTGCTACTCAATAGGTATAAACCTTCAGTTATATAAGATAAATGATTCTAGAAATCTGCTGTACAACACTGTGCCTATATTGTATTGTATACTTAAAAATCTGTTAAGAGGGTAAATCTCACATTAAATGTGAGATCTACAGGCACAATGGCACATGCCTATAGTCCCAGCTACTCAGGAGGTTGAGGCAAAAGGAGAGCTTGAGCCCAGGTGTTTGAGTCCAGTGTGGGCAATGTAGCAAGATCTTGTCTCTAAAAAAAAAAAAAAAAAAAAAGATTTAAAAAATGTTTTTACCACAATTAAATTAAATTAAATTAATTTTTTTTAAAAAAAGCTAGCCTCACCCCAGGCTCAGGGCTGTGCATGCTAAGAGTGAGTCCAGCTAAAGGAGCAACACGCTGGTGTACAGTCTCCTGCTTAGTCATCAAGTAGAATGTCATGTGGATCACCAGCACTGATTCTTTCCTGCTTTGGTTTGGTTTATTTTTTACTAATTTTGTTTTATCACATACATGCATTACAATAATGTAAGTCAATTCACCTGCAGAACATCTCCACTGTAAAATTCTCTTATTTGTGTAAAATAAATAAAAGAACACGTATCCACAAATATACTCACCTATACACAGATTTTTCTAGAGGTGCACTCAAGAAACTGGAAATACAGGTTATTTTTGCCAAGAACGACAAGGAATCTGGAGAACTGGAGTCAGAGGACATTTTACACTCTAATATTTTTGTATGATTTGAATTTTATCATGCATATGAATTACTGTTTTAAAAAAACCTACCAGTAAAAATATCATGTTTAAAAATACATAAAATCTAATGATTTAAGATATAAGTGTAGACTAAATACCTACTTACCTCCCACTAATAACAACTTACTCCATCTGTAATTCTTAACCTTTGTGGGTCTTATAGAATCTTTGGAAATTTGGTAAGAATTACGACCTTTTCCCCAGTAGAAGACATGTAGATATACACACATATAACCATGAAGTCCATAAACATTAAATTTACAGCTGTTGTGCTACAACATTTATCTGTGGGATTCTTGCCAAAAATGTTTAACCTGAATCTATTCATGAAGATATAATCTGATGAATCAAACATACGGGGCATTCTTCAATATAAACAGCTTAGACTCCAAAAATTCCATGTCATAAAACAAAGGAAACTAAAAACATAAATCCAAAAAGACTAAGAGACACAACAACTAAATACAACGTAAGAATATTGGTCAAATCATGAATTGGGGAGGGAAAAAAACCTATAAAATATATATTTGAAACAATAAGAGAAATCCAAATCTGGATTCTGTATTAGATGATATTATGGAATTATTATTTGTTTTATAAGTGTTATGATGCCTGTTAAACAACTGAGGGGTGAAAAGTCATGATGTCTGCAACTTATTTTTATGGTTCAAAATAGTATACCCAGGGATAGTGCAAATGAATGTGACTAAAGGTTAACAACTGCTGAAGCTACATAAAGGGCATATGGGTACCTGCTGTACTATTTTTCTAACTTTTCTGTAAACCTGAAATTTTTCTATACACAAAGTTGAAGGCAAAAAAAAAAAGTTAAAATACTTCACTCTCCTATAAAACTTCACTCTCCTATAATTCTAACACAGCACCCACCACCAAATTTCCCCCTCTTCCACTTATTCTTCTGGCTTTCCATCTCCTTCTTTCTTGCCGAAATGGATTGTACTATTCAGGAAATCTAGCACTTCATTTGTTTCTTCCAAAATTATTATGAAGCATAAACAATGTCTCAACTTGGACTGTCTCTTTTTTTGTCTGTCTCTCTTGGTTAAACTATGAGCTTGGTGAGGGAGGTCAGAAACTACACTTTTGTCGTCTTTATAACCCCAGTGTCAGAACACAATAAGAAGAGTCAATAAACATGAGGTGAACTGAAACTTTGGACCAGTTCACTGAACTTTAGTACCTACTGTGCTATTCTTTAGCAAACTGGGTAACAGATAATATGGAAGGATTTTTAAAATGCTGAAACTAAATCACTAAAATAAAATACTAGAGCTGCTTCTTCCTTGAGTATAGAGAAAATGAGCCTTGCTTATAAGTAGCTTTGTATCACATTAGCAAAAGTCTGGAAATACAAAACACACTCAAAGTTAATAAAGTTAAAATTTTCACACTGCCATTTGTGCAGGCCACTAGCCTTATCTGACTTCTACCTGTTAGTTTTTTTATTCTCTAATTCTACACTGACAACATTTTCTGTGATGATGGAGGTGAAGAGCCTGTCACTGGCAACACAGCACCATCCTCATTTAGAGTAAATAAAACTATTTAAAGCAAATTGGAAATTGAATGACAGAAAGTGCCACAGATGGACCACACTGGGAACAGGAGTGGAATGCCACATTGCTCATCATCTCCACCATCCAGGAATGAAGTTGGCACCAAAATGCTGGCAGTAGACCACAGTGGACCATCACTGTGTATGCAAGACAATCCAAATGAATTGTACTATTCTTTGAGATTAAGAAGCAGCTCAGGGACTTTCCACTAAAATAAAAATCAAATCTATCAATTGCCATTAGTGTTTCACTTTTTAAAAATGTTTCCCCTTAACTTGAGTCATTATTGCTCATTATGTTCTCCTCTTTCCTTTCATGTACCTTCTTTTCTCTTTGGAGATGTCTCTAGAATGGAAATACATGGAACTCATCCAATTGACACTTAAATTCTGTAAACTCTATGATACAAAGTTACTCCATTTACGGTAAAGCTTAAGCACCCCAGTGCAGACTCTTTATTAAAGTCAGGATAATTTAGAAACTGAGTTGAATTTAAATAAAAGTATTGCTAAAAGCATCATGAATGGCAAAAGTCTGAGGACTTCTTTCTTTCTAGGATAAAAGAATATTGGTCAAATCATGAATTGGGGAGGGAAAAAAACTATAAAAGATATATTTGAAACAATAAGAGAAATCCAAATCTGGATTCTGTATTAGATGATATTATGGAATTATTATTTGTTTTATAAGTGTGATGATGTTTAACAACAAAGTTTAACACTTTTGTTGCCTGCCTATAGAAAATTGCTTATTCTTTTAAAGACCGAGTATTCGCTTTATCCTGTTCTCTTTCTTGCTTTCTGTTAATCCAGGAAGACATCAGAGGAGAATGAAAGAAGTAAGAAAGGTTTATGAGAACCAAAAATGGAAAATCATTTCTTTCACAGCAGTGCTCAGACAAGAACGCTACCCACTGAAGTCAACCGGGTAATTTACATTTACCAATACAGTAGTATGTCTACCCAGCCTTGCTCTGGATAAAATGTGTCAACTCTCCCAAACTAATGTATGGCCTGTTGCATAATTACCCCTCATTACATAATTGATCCTACCTCCTGCAATTCCTTTCCCAGTAACCACTATTCATTGGTCCCAGCCTGGAAGATCAGATATTCAAATTTACTAGCTCAGGCTCCATGTTCCTACCCGAACTCTTGACCTGGTTACAGGAAGGAAAAATAGTGACACCTTTCACTGCCTAAATGTTTCAGTCCCATTTCTTTCTAATTTGAGAGTCCACTGAAATTCATTATCTTGGTTAAGCAAAAAAAAAAAAAACATGAAGACACCTGTGGCTGGGGTAATAGTGGGGCATACTGGCTCAAGATGGGTTGTACCAAAAATAATTGGTGATGTAAAATATGTTCCCTATGCTAGCCCACCCTTTTTCTAATCTTCAGTTTCTTTCTGTATTTTTCTGCTCTTTTACCCTTTTTTCTCCCTTTCCACCCCTTCCACACCCTATGCTTGTGTCAATGACTGCCAAAGATACCGGAATTGGTAAAGTTATTTCTGTTCCCTTCTCCCTTTCATTCATCAGGTAATGGCAGCAAAAAAGGTTTAATCCAAGTCAGTATAATCAACTTATCTAAGTGCTCTGATATTTACTGAGTAGTGCTCTGTACTAGATACAGTGAAAGCGAAGAGGAGGAAGCCTTCATCCTTGTCTGCAAGAAGTCTACACTCCTAAGGGGGGAAACAAGCATGCAAACAACTAAATCTAATGCAAGAGATAAGAACACAGAGGGAAAAGCAACTAAATGCCAATGAGGAGATGGTTTCACTAATCCCTACCAGGAAATTATACTACAGAGAAATTTTTTTCTAAGAACACTTAGAAAGACAAAAGTGTAAATTAAGTTTCACTGGATGTCATGCAAAGGAATCCTCAAGCTCAAAGAGCATGTCTCCTTTCAAGTTTTTGCACAGGGTGGGGAGTTGTACAGTACAAATGCTTATTCTTTATTTTTTGGCTCAGTATGTTTTTATTTAATTTTTATAGATACATAATAATTGTACATATTTATGGGGCACACGTAAAGTTTTGATAACTTACAATGCATAATGATCAAATCAGGGTAATTGGTATATTCATCACTTCAAGCATTTAATATTTCTTTGTGTTAGGAACATTTCAATTCCGATCTGATTTTGAAATATACAATAAGTTATAGTTAACTCAAATGCCCACTCTTTAGCACAAAAGTAACTGAATAGATAGAAAACCAGAGGAACTACTTATAAGTGTTATGTTTCCACCTGTGGTGACTCTATTTTGAGAACAGAACTTATTTTGCCTCTTCCAAAAAAATGGTACAAATGAAGCTGTGCAAATTGACTAGGGTTGCACAAACAAGCTAAGCATCCAGGTCTATATAACATAAAGAAAGGGGGTAGATATCTGACTGGTAAGTTACCCCTCTTTCCTTCTTTTTGTTATCCAGGGAATTAAGCAAGTTCAGAGAACTGAACCTGGGTAATTACCCAATTAAACCTTTTCCTAGCATTGGGAAATCATGATGCATGGAAAGGACAACACCAGTGGGAGAAGGCAGGAATGCAAAAGGAGACAAGTGCCAATCAGAGGCAAAATCCGAGGCCCTTGTGGCCTGACTATAAATAATTGCTTTTCCTCACATCCTTGTCACCTCTTCCTAAAATTAGAATTAGCTTCCTGGCCTGAAAGCTAAACCTCACTCCCACACCCTCCTTTCTCACAAAGCAATATTCCCTAATGCAATAAGGTGGTGGGATTTCAACAACAGCAAGAGTTTAGGAGTCAGGTAACTCCTTGCTCAACTCCTGCTTTTCATTTCAGAGCTTTGTTAATCGCTGCACCGAGCTTCTTCATCTGAAAAATGGGGATGAGGATGATGATGGTAACAGCTAGTAATCATAAAACAGGCACTGTGCAAAGCGCTTTATATGCATTATTTATGTAATGGGCAGTATTCATGATTATTACTACTGCAATTGTAGTCCTCCTTTACAAATGAAGAAATTGAAATTCTGAGAGGCGTTAATTTTCCCAAGGTTTAACCTCAATGCCTTAACTCTTGACCCTTTCTACTACTATAATAATACTGCCTAAACAAGGTATTGAAAGGGTTAACATTAACATGTATGGACACACCAACTAATGCTATTGTCATCGCTTTTGATGTTGCTGTTGTTGAGCGTGATACTGTTTTTGTTGCTTTTCTCTCTCCCCAGATACTAGCAGTTCTAAGATCTAATAAGCACAAACCATCCACCCATATACTGGCAAGTGTAAACCAATGTCATGGGAACATTTTTGAGCACCAAATAACAAAGCTAATATACCTTTTAGATCTTTCATTATTAAAATGTTTCTGTTGAGCATGAATGAGAGCAAGAGAAAAAGAAATGGGATTCAGTACTACCTAAAATGATCCCCCATGCCTACATTTCTAAAAATTCAGAATGACAAATGAAAGGTACACTGTTCTTACATGTGTCACTTAGATTTCTTAAGATAAAATTATGTATCATATGCTAATTTTTGACTATTCAAACTGCGTTTCTGCTTCATTCTTATCTTTTAATTCACTTTTCATTGTAATGAAATAACTATAATACATGTTTAAACCTCTAACATGCCAAAATGCCAATCAGATTAAACACAATAGGAAGCATTTGGCATACCCCTGGAGACTTTCCTAAATAAAATAAAATTGTTATTACATTTCATCACTTCCTTTCTTATTGCCAACTAATGTCCCCATGTCTGAAAGGGTCATTTTCAAGCTACACGTCTATTTATAATAGTGTGTTCACTGTCTTCCTTCCTCTGGCACATTATCTATGACCTTGACCATTTCAGGACAGATAAAATGGTACCATAAACATATGTTTACGAAGCTCCAGACATCTTGTAAGAGATTTTGTGGTTATTAAAAGCAGTAAAGAGTGACAAGCACAGTTCTATACTATAATACTGCCTGTCAAGAGAAAAATGTCACCCTTACCATAAAGTATCCAGAGGCATAATTAGGAAGTGGCAAAGGGAACGATTTCCTGGGCACAGTAATAACAGGGCTGAGATGAAACACAGCAGCAATGGAAGCTGCCTTCTCTCCAACGTGCCCGAGTGGAGCCCCAGTCCACACCAAGGGTCCAGGGCATAGTCATGCTCCCACGTCCAAAATGTGGAACATCAAGGAATGCCCAGGACAGTCACACTCATGAAGAGGTGGCAACAAGAATTTCTGGGAGCAAATGAGATATTCTGATGTTTCTGACTTTTCCTAATTGCATCATTATGAAAACTAAAATAATGAATCCTCCTGGGCACCAACTAAGAACATTAAAGAAATTGAAACTTCACAGCTCCTGATGCTCCATACCCATAAACACAGATCCATACAGTCCCCACAGAACTATAAATAAATCCTGCCTGAAAGTCTCCTTCCTGTTCACATGTTTCTCCATAAAGCTTGGTAGTATCTCTTTCCTTTTATCTTAACTTTTATCCTTGTGATTCCTGTCGGTCAAGGACAAGAGGTACAAATAAAATGGGAGCTCCAGATTCTTGCTCAGTTCATCGCAACTCCCCCTGAAAAAGTCTCCTTTCCCAGAACCAAAGGAATAAAAATAATCCCTGTAAAGTTATGTGCTGCTTTGGGGCCTTTTCTGCAACATAGGGAGTTCAGTGTATCCCTAGGCATCCTTCCAGCTCAAACATTTTCTGATTCTGGGATGTGTGAGGCTGGAGATGAGTGGAGTCTCAGGAGCGGCCCCTGCAGCCTCTATCCTAGTCAGGAGCCGCTTCTCAGATTTGGGGGCCCAGTCCCGGCAGCTGTGAGGCCTGGGGCTAGGAGGTTGGCATCTGTCCTCGTCAGAGCTAACATTGGCTTCAGCAGGGGAGCAACTTTCTGTCAAGTGATTTTTCTCACTTACAGAAAAATCCTATCTTTCTCACTTTTATAATCAGCATTATTCACCTGTCAGGACTCGTTCCTATCCCAGCTTCTCCACTTAGTAGATGTGTGACCTCTTGGGCCTCAGTTTCCTCACCTGTAAAAAGAAGGCACTAATGACATCAATTGTTGTTGCAAGAATTGAATTGGTTAATGTGTGGAACATGTTAGAACAGTCCCTGGAATACACGAAACACCAGGCAATTGCTAACCACCAGGTGTACTGTTATTACTGCTGGTAGTAGTAGCTCACCAACACAAGGGATGCCAACACTACTACCTTTCCCTTATCTTTTCACTCCACTAAGTTTGGAATGGATGGTTCAGATTCCCATTTTAAGAGCCCCATTGGACTTCACAAAGCCTCCTGCCAGTGCTCTGAGACTTTACCGGAAGGTTTTCATTTTCTCTTGACAGGAGGCACACTGTGTGTGGAAAGTGTCCTTGCCACCTCTATAGTATAAATAACTATCAAATGTGACTACGAATCATAAACATGTCAGTGATTTGATTCCATGGATTTACATCATAATTGAAATAGTCAAGGTCACAAATAATGGGCTAAAGGAAAACAGCAGCACCATACCACCAATCCTGAATTTTCTCCAACTTTTCTCTAATATGTACTTTTTAGCATTTTAGAGTCCTATAGAGTGCCTGTGTTTGAAGAATTAATTCCTCTCTGATAACATATGTATTTTGAATAACACCCCAGTTACAGATTGAATCCTGGCGACAACAGGAAATGGCAGAAAAATAATGGTCTAAAATATTCCCAAACCCAAACCTCTTCTCTCAGAAAGAGGTGTAGAGCTGTGACAAGTAAGCTACCACATCACTCACTTGTGGTCACAATATCCAGTAATACTCAAAGGCTGTGGTGTTGAACTAATATTCTACCTAAGGTTAAAAAAAAAAAAAAGGATAATAGATCCAATCATTTAAATTATTTTTTGCCCAACATTTGACACCTTTACAAGCTCTAAAATGATAATATGTTCCAATCACTGAAGGTTTTATTTTATGAGATTCTATAATTTCAATACATATCATGAACTAATTTATCCTTGTTCACTTTAAATCTAGAGAGACATCGTGGTACCAGTCAAGGTAGATGTGGTCAGAATCACTGAAGTAGAATGATTTACTTAACACTGTGCACATTCCTCATGGGGTGGGGGCAGGTATGTTCATAAATAACTGGAAAATCAGAATAATATTATAATAAACTACTTATTTAAATATTGAATACCTTTACCTTAGTATGGGTGAAGTGGAGATGTCAGGAGACAAAGTCTTCCTGGTGGTATATTGATCCAGAGACAACTCTCTTCTCACTCTATCTTTCCCACTGGAGGGTCCAGCCATGTGCAAGTGGGTGGGGAGGGAAGATGGTGTCCCATCACTACCTCAAGTCAGTATACCCCAAACCCAGAATATTGTACAATCTAAGTTTACTCAAGTCTCTTCACTCAAGTTCAAGTGAGGTAACTCATCTCAGACAGTGATGTAATCCATCTTGTACAACATCCAAAGTGTGGTGAGGAGTTGAGAGTGTCATCTCTAGACTAACTCATTCCTCGATACTAACTGTGGGAGTGGGGCTCAATCCCAGACTTTTGGGAGCCGCATATGTATGTCCATCCCACCAGTGGTCAGTGAGTGACTTCCCCCTGCCATTTTCTTCTTTACATTCTCTTCCTAACTCTCATAGTTCCTCTCTCCCTGAAGTTTCCATTCCTCTGGTGTCCTGGACACACGAATGGATTTTTATTTATACTTATTATCTGCTCCACATGGTTCTGTTGCTAGACGGGGAAGATTAAGATGTCTGTGGGTGGAGGTGCTGGGGGAAGAGTTCCTCACAATGATGTGGTATCTGAGGGACACCAGCTTAAATCACAATGGTTAATCTCTTGCTGGTCCAATTGTCCTACCTTATCAAACTAAAGAGGCTCAGCCTCCTTCCCAGCTTTAAGTTGTAGTTCAAAAAGCTGCCTTCAATTTCCATACTACTCTAGATAAAGTAGCTTCCCCAGACCTCTCTATCCCATTAATTAAATTTACTTTATTCTTAGTATTTAACAGTGGGTAAAATTTATATTGACTTTTTTACACACTAATTGTCTCTGCCCCCCCCCACTCCCTGCCAACCACATTAGAATCTAAGAATTCTGATAACATTTGTATTTTGTATTCACTTTCACTAGAATGTGAATATCTTTAGGGTATTCATGGCTCTATATGCAATTCCTATAAAGGTGCCTGGCACAAGATAGGCAAGTTTCAGACCTGCATGCCCAATTGTCTATTGCCTTATCACATGGGCATCTCAATCACAACTTGGACAAAACTGAATTCTGGAAAGTGTACTTGGAAAACCCATTCTTCCTCCTATATTTTCTACCATCTACCATTTTCCCCAGCTAGAAAATTGTCATCCTTTAATTACTTGCTCCCCTTTCCCTTTCTTCAATTCCCCCACATTCCTAATTCTTCTTCTCCTTTCTCTACATCCATCTCATCTCCCCACATCTAACTGGCATCCAACTCATGCCAATTCTTCCTCCTCCATCCTCCCTCTTTCCTATCTTTAAATGTTACCACTTCTGTGAAACCTTTTCCTTACCACTACTGTTAGTAGCTTTGATCTCTGTGCTTCACACCATCGTGTCTCTTCAGTGTTTTTAGGTCCTTTTAGGGTTTCACAGTTAAAAATTTTGACATCTGCTACAAATCATGGGCCCAAGAAAATCCATTTGCACTCAGACTTTTACATAAAATGACAGCACTCTATATTTCAAATCCTTTACTGAAACATGCATCATGGTAATTGTGTTATATTTATTTATGTATCTGTCTTCATCACTAGAAGGTAAGAAGTTCTAGGACAAGTTTATATCATCTTATCTTTTTCATAAAACTCCTTTGTTTATATTGCTGTGCTTAGTATGTATAAGGTACTAAAAATCATCAACTTACTGTCTACTGCAATATTTAGATGTTAAGACAGCATCTTCCAAATAGTCATTTGAATATCACCCTCACAATTTTTGCCATATCTGCTCAACCTATCCTACTATGTACTTAACAATTTGTGTAGATTGTTTGTAAAATCTTTACCAAAGATTATTTCCATTTCTGAACATATGTGTCATTAAACCCCCAAAAAGGTGTGGAGTCTATTTCTCCTCCCCTTGAATCCGGACTTGTCTTGTCACTTGATTTGACCAATAAAATGTAACAGGAGTAACACATTGCGACTTCTAGATCTGGACCTTAAGAGACTTTGTACTTTTCTTTTTTACTGTCTTTAGATCCACCCATGATGTTAAAAAGCTCCATGTGGTCTCTCATCACTAGGAAGTGATGAGATACCACTAAACAGGGAGAGGCTTGACCACCTGCAGGCATTCTGGCCACCCCAGCTAGGTTGCCAGACATACAAGTGTCTTAGTCCATTTAGGCTCCTGGAACAAAATAGTTTAGACTGAGTAATTTACAAACAACAGAAATCTACTGTTCACAGTTCTGAAGGCAGGGAAGTTCAAGATCATGGCACCAGCAGATTTAGTGTCTAGTGAGGGCTTGCTCTGCTTCCTAAATGGAGCCTTCCTGCTGCATCTTCACGTAGCAGAAGGGGCAAACAGGCTCCCTCAAGCCTCTCTTATAAGGGCACTAATTCCATTCATGAGGGTAGAGCCTCCTAAAGGTCTCACCTCTCACATTGAGTCTTGAGTTCCAACATTTGAATTTTGAGAGGACACCAACATTCAGACCACAGCAATGAATAAAGCTATTTTGGTCCTTCCAGCCTCAACCAAACTCTCAAGCCACAGGACCCCAGCAGACCTCATGGAGAGAAGAATTGCCTAGCAGAGCCCAGCCAACTCATAGAATCCAAATAAGTCATTGTTTTTTAAACCAGTATGTTTTGGAAGTGGTCCACACAGCAATAGACAGCTGATGTGATGCTTTTCTTTAAAACTCTTTTTTTAAAACTTAAGTCTGTGTTAAAAAAATTTTTCTCACTTCTATAAATAGAAAATTACTATCACTTTCCATAAAACTAACCACAATGAAAGAAGAAACAAAGTAATGTTATTCACTTCTAGCCAGATACTCCTGCCTTCAAAAGTCTCTGTGTTCCTTCCAAAGGAAGATCCCCAAATGTCAGAGAGATATTAAAGATACACCAAAACTAAATTAGGACTGCCTCCTTGGTGTGAGTTAAGCTAAAAGGAAATGGAATGAAAATAACATACTCAACTCTGAAATTTGATAGTATTTAATGCTGTCTATCACCAAAAACCATTATCTTGTAAAATAATACAGGTGGTAAGCAACTACTGCAAAAATTGTGAGGGTGTTACTCAAATGACTAATATTTGGAAGATGCTGCATTAACCTAACACCTGAACACTGAGGTAGGTAGGCAAGTGGGTGGTCAGCATTTTTACTACCTTCTACACATCAGGCCCAGTGCAAAACAGAAAGGGCTGTGGATATAATATACAACATAATGTACTCCTGTGCTAGAAGTGCTTGTACTCTAATGGAGGAGACAGGAGTATAAATAGTTATAACACTTTAACTATGGCAAATGTAACTATAAAAGATTTAAAATACAACGCCCATGGACTCAGACATTGTCAAGGACATAAAATCCCTGACATTTTGGGCAACTGTTTGAGGATATATGGATATTCTGGGCCCATAACTTGCATTAGATTCTCAAAGTTCATTGGAACACATTCTGTAACATAGGAAACACTCGAATAATTAATGCATGGTATTGTTGGTTCTTGGTTCTTGCCTGGATGTTCTTTTTTAGTTTGTCATTTTGGAATCATAACTGTGGCCTCTTCTTTGTTTTTTATGATTTTGTACTTTTCTCACATAGCTGTATGAAAGTTATCTTTAATTCCCTGATGACCAAACTCCCCTAAAGGTCTCTGCCACATTTTAAGCTCTTTGAAGCTAGAGACATACCATATAGCTTCCTGCCTTCAATTTCAAATAAACATCTGTTAAATGAAGAATAAATCTTGTAGAACTCCTGCAGGAAGTTTTCCTGCTGTCTAGGACTGATTAAAAATGTTTTCCATTGCTCAGACTATGAACACTAAAAGTGTTTCTAATCTGAAATGTGTACATAACAAAATATTTGGAAAAAGGCACCAAGTTCTTCCTGCAATGTGTTATGTGTGTATATTCACAAACGTCTGTCTGGACTGGCATTTTATGTCTAGGCCTGTGTAGGTCAGTGTTGAATATTTTAAACGGTGTGGGGACTGTGTTTATTTACATACTGCATAAAGCAGCCATTGCGATGTTATTCACACATGGGGCCTCTGGGCTTCTCCTGAGCATGAAAGTGCTGCTGTTGACATTCATGCTTTTCTCAGTATTTCTTCTTTTATCCTATCTTCCAACATAGCAATTTTGTCTTCCTCTGGAACTGAAATTCAGTGAAAAATATAGGCCTCTAAAATGTTAATACTTTCATCCTAATTTTTTTTTAATTTTTTAGCTATGCTGTGAACTAAATGAGCTGAAGCCTCCACTATTCAAAGTTCTTCAAGGTTTGACATTTAAATTTATTCTAAAATAGTTTTTGCATGAAAAACCAAGAAAGGGAGGATTGTGGTTTGTACCTTGGCATGGAATTTTATATGAGTGGGATAGAAACAGAGTAGTGGTGTTGAAGCCGTCTGCAGGATTTACTGGCACTGATTGGGAGCATGAGCGGCCCAGTCTCCAAACAAGCCCATAATTCATATGACTAATTCTAGCTTTTGCCTTAAGCCTCCACCCCAGCCCCCACCCCACCACACACACAATCAGCATATATGGAAATGTTAATAAAGTCATCATCTCATTCTCTTCAAAATGATTAATTCTCATCACACCCATGCCTCAGTATTTCCAGGTAGGATGGGGGCCTTCAGGACAAGAGGTTGCAAAGGGAAGCAAATTCAAGTGAGAAACTCTGCAAAACTTTCTGGGAGGCGATAGAATTAAACATCTCTCATTCCGAGATGTGTTCTAGTAGGCATGCTTCTGAGCCATAAGAGCATCCATATTATGGCTTTGAAAATATTTTATATACACATTCTCAAACACTCTAAAACTTTATTTTTTCTAAATTCTTTTTAACCTTAACTTCTGCTTGTAAGGCAAGTTTAAGATTCATCTAAATATATTATTTAAGTGATTCCTATTATAATACGTGAAACACCCTTTTCATCCATCTATACCTCTGAACCTTTTTAATAATGCCTCATTATAATTAAGACTTCAGACTGGTTAGCCATAGCATGACAATCATCTACTGAGACTTAATACACTATGTATGTGTAACAGAAAACACCTACTACTTGGAGTGTACAGCTTGCCTAATATAAAGTAGCAGATTTTGAGGGGAATGCATTTTACAGTGACTGCCAGATGCATGCCAAAGCCCCGCCTCCAGTGGTCCAAATAATGATTGCAATGACAGCCCTGGGAACAGCAGGGAGAGTTTTCAGGCTAAACCCTCACAATTTTTCTTACAGCTCCTTCCAAAAGGGAACAAAGAAGCTCTGCGTGTGTATGTGTGTGTGTGTGTGTGTGTGTGTGTGTGTGTACGCTCCTACGCATGTGTGTGTATATTTTCCTGTTTTGAGGGTAGAAAGTACTAGAAGTAGATAGTAGATAGTGCCTGAGATGCCAACATAGGCAAATGAAGAAGGTGGAGTAGATAAGGAGAGGATTCAACCAGAAGTCCTACAATAGCTTTTTCCAGGTTCAAAAAGTCTCTGATTGGGCCAACTGAATGTGCACATAAACCCTGCTTCTCCCCAAATATAAGGAGCAAAAGGGAAAAGTGGAGTGCTGACTCCACTTTGATGGAGGAGGACGGGCAGACAGGAAAATGTGGTCAGAGTGCAGTCCCTGAAAGGCTATGATGAGGAGAGAAGCTCCCCAATGCTCCAAGCCTCTTCTCAGCAAATGGGGCAAAGGCCATCTGCACATTGTACTTACCTGGAGCTCCTCTCCATCTGGTAAAGGCGCCCCTGTGCACCTGAATGGACATCAAATCTCAGACTCTTCAGAAGAAAAACTTCCCTGTTTCCTTGGCTACACCTGATAATGATGTGAAAGAACCCAGAAACAGTCAAAATGTCTATTCATTTCTCTGATCTAACACTTATCAGTGTGTGACCTTATGTCAATGGCTATGCCGGTCTCAGCTCAAGATTTCTTAAACTGCAGAATGGACATAAATGTAATGCTATGTTACCAAAAGAAAGTGGTGACGACAAGAAGAAAGGCCTGGAAAGAGCCCATGTCTGTGTGTACCCATGAGGGGAGAATGAGAGGGCTGGCCTTTCATGCAGCACACTGGTGCACATGGCACAAAAACCACGGACCACACTTTCATCTGTCAAATGTACTAACTGCCGGCAAGAGGCCTGATGAGCCAGAGTGGGCACCTGTGCTCCAACCCACGTATATGTCTCTATGTCCAAACATCCAGCGTGTCTCCTCCCGTAGCCATGGTTGAATAGCTCAGGCTCCTACCTAAGACCCATCCTGCCCCTTATGCACTGGAGCCCATGCTTCTTACCTACTTAAAGACATTGCTCCAGTAATTGTCCACCTGCTCTTGTATCATCAAGTTGTTACTCTCTACCGGATCATTCCCAGCATACGAATGTGCTGTCATAATTTCTTCCGCTTAAAAGTTTTTGTTGTTGTTGTTGTTTTTGAGACGGAGCCTTGCTCTGTCGCCCAGGCTGGAGTGCAGTGGCGCGATCTCGGCTCACTGCAAGCTCCGCCTCCTGGGTGCATGCCATTCTCCTGCCTCAGCCTCCCTAGTAGCTGGGACTACAGGCGCCGCCACCACGCCCACCTAGTTTTTTGTATTTTTAGTAGAGACGGGGTTTCACCATGTTAGCCAGGATGATCTCCATCTCCTGACCTCGTGATCCGCCCATCTCGGCCTCCCAAAGTGCCGGGATTACAGGCTTGAGCCACTGCGCCCAGCCAAAATATTTTTTAAAACTCTCCTGGCTCCACATCCTCCTCCAGATACCACCCTATTTCTCTTCCCTTTTAGAGTAAAACTCCTCTAAAGTGTAGTCTCTATTCTGCCTCCAGTCCAACTACTCCCATTCCTTCTGGAATTCATTCCAAATAGCTTTCGTCCTCATTACTTCATCAAAATAGTTCTTGTCAAAGTCATCAATGACCTCCCTGTTGCTACATCCAATAGTCAGTTCTCAGGCCTCCTCTCCCTCACCTTGTCAGCAGTACCTGGCACACTTGATCACACCCTCTTTTTTTTTTTTTTTTTTAACTTCCTTCCTTTAAAAAAAAAAAAAATAGAGACAGGGTCTTGCTCTGTTGCCCAGGCTGCAGAGCAATGGTATGCTCATGGCTCACTGCATTTTCTTTTTTTTTATTATTTTTTATTATACTTTAAGTTCTAGGGTACATGTGCACAACGTACAGGTTTGTTACATATGTATACATGCGCCATGTTGGTGTGTTGCACCCATTAACCCGTCATTGACATTAGGTATATCTCCTAATGCTATCCCTCCCCCCTACCCCCACCCCATGACAGGCCCTGGTGTGTGATGTTCCCTACCCTGTGTCCAAGTGCTCTCATTGTTCAATTCCCACTTATGAGTGAGAACATGCAGTGTTTGGTTTTCTGTCTTTGTGACAGTTTGCTCAGAATGATGGTTTCCAGCTTCATCCATGTCCCTACAAAGGATATGAACTCATCCTTTTTATGGCTGCATAGTATTCCATGGTGTATATGTGCCACATTTTCTTAATCCAGTCTATCATTGATGGACATTTGGGTTGGTTCCAAGTCTCTGCTATTGTGAATAGTGCCACAATAAACATATGTGTGCATATGCCTTTATAGCAGCATGATTTATAATCCTTTGGGTATGCACCCAGAAATGGGATTGCTGGGTCAAATGGTATTTCTAGTTCTAGATCCTTGAGGAATTGCCACACTGTCTTCCACAATGGTTGAACTAGTTTACAGTCCCACCAACAGTGTAAAAGTGTTCCTATTTCTCTACATCCTCTCCAGCCTCTGTTGTTTCCTGACTTTTTAATGATAGCCATTCTAACTGGTGTGAGATGGTATTTCATTGTGGTTTTGATTTGCATTTCTCTGATGGCCAGTGATGATGAGCATTTTTTCATGTGTCTGTTGGCTGCATAAATGTGTTCTTGAGAAGTGTCTGTTCATATCCTTTGCCCACTTTTTGATGGGGTTGTTTGATTTTTTTCTTATAAATTTGTTTAAGTTCTTTGTAGAGCCTGGAAATGAGCCTTTTGTCAGATGAGTAGATTGCAAAAATTTTCTCCCATTCTGTAGGTTGCCTGTTCACCCTGATGGTAGTTTCTTTCACTGCACAGAAACTCTTTAGTTTAATTAGATCCCATTTGTCTATTTTGGCTTTTGTTGCCATTGCTTTTGGTGTTTTAGTCATGTAGTCCTTGCCCATGCCTATGTCCTGAATGGTATTCCCTAGGTTTTCCTCTAGGGTTTTTATGGTTTTAGGTCTAACATTTAAGTTTTAATCCATCTTGAATTAATTTTTATATAAGGTGTAAGGAAGGGATCCAGTTTCAGCTTTCTTTCCCAGCACCATTTTATGAAATAGGGACATCCTTTCCCCCATTTCTGTGTTTTATGTTGTGTCAAGAGATCAGTATGGTTGCTAGATGCGTGTTGTTACTTTCTGAGGCCTCTGTTCTAATTGGTCTATATCTCTGTTTTGGTACCAGTACCATGCTGTTTTGGTTACTGTAGCCTTGTAGTATAGTTTGAAGTCAGGTAGTGTGATGCCTCCAGCTTTGTTCTTTTGGCTTAGGATTGTCTTGGCAATGTGGGCTCTTTTTTGGTTCCATGTGAACCTAAAAGTAATTTTTTCCAATTCTGTGAAAGAAGTCATTGGTAACTTAATGAGAGTGGCATTGAATCTATAAATTACCTTGGGCAGTATGGTCATTTTAGTGATATTGATTCTCCCTATCCATGAGCATGGAATGTTCTTCCATTTGTTTGTATCCTCTTTTATTTAATTGAGCAGCAGTTTGTAATGCTCCTTGAAGAGGTCCTTCACATCCCTTGTAAGTTGGATTCCTAGGTATTTTATTCTCTTTGTAGCAATTGTGAATGGCAGTTCACTCATGATTTGGCTCTCTGTTTGTCTGTTAGTGGTGTATAGGAATGCTTGTGATTTTTGCACATTGATTTTGTATCCTGAGACTTTGCTGAAGTTGCTTATCAAGCTTAAGGAAATTTTGGGCTGAGACGACGGGGTTTTCTCATGTCATCTGCAAACAGGGACAATTTGACTTCCTGTTTTCCTAACTGAATACCCTTTATTTCTTTCTTCTGCCTGATTGCCCTGGCCAGAACTTCCAACACTATGTTGAATAGGAGTGGTGATAGAGGGCATCCCTGTTTTGTGCCAGTTTTCAAAGGGAATGCTTCCAATTTCTGCCCATTCAGTATGATATTGGTTGTGAGTCTGTCATAAATAGCTCTTATTATTTTGAGATA